CAAAAAAAAAAAAAAAAAAAAAAAAAAAGAAAAGAAAGAAAGAAAAAGAAGAAAAGTGAAAATTATCTATAAATTCTACCATTCCAAGATAAACTGGTTACATTTTCCCCTGTTATTTTGTCTCCACATATATTTTTTAAATAGCTCATATTGTGTGATCTTGGGCCTTCTTTTCCCACTGCACTCTCTTCTTTGGTGGTTTTATCCATTATGATGGTTTTTATTACATCTCTGAGATGATAATTTAGCACAGATCTCTGCTCTGAGCTTCAAATTTTTCTGCCCCTACATCCCAAAGTTGCTCCTCTGAAACTATTTTGGTAAATGACTATTACCATCTGTCCCACTAATACCAGATACTTGGAGTCATCCATAATGATTTTCTGTTTCTGCAATTCCTCCCCACCCCTTTCCCATCTGTCTTAGTCCATTCCTGCCACTATAACAAAATACCATAAACTGGCAGGTTGATAAACAACAGAAATTTATTTCTCACATTTTTGGAGGTTGGGAAGTCCAAGATCAAGGTGCCAGCATATTCAGTGTCTGGTGAGGGCCCACCACCGCCAGTTTTCTGGTTCATAAAGTGGTACCTTCTCACTGTGTTCTCACATGGTAGACAGAGGCACCTTTTATAAAAGTGCTAAACCCATTCATGAGGACCCCACCCTTGTGACCTAATCTCCTCTCCAAATCCCTTCCTCCTAATGCCATCTCCTTGGGTATTAGGTGTTTTTTAATTTTTTAATTTTTATTTTTAGAGACAGAGTCTTACTCTGTCACCCAGTTGGAGTGCAGTGGTGCGATCTCAGCTCATTGCAACCTCTGCCTCCCGGGTTCAAGTGATTCTCCTGCCTCAGCCTCCTGAGTAGCTGGGATTACAGGCGTGCACCACCACGCCCAGCTAATTTTTGTATTTTTGCCATGTTGGTCAGGCTGGTCTCGAACTCCTGACCTCGTGATCTGTCTGCCTTGGCGTCCCAAAGTGCTGGGATTACAGGTGTGAGACACCATGCCCGGCCAGGATTTCAACATATGAATTTGGGGGAGGACACAAACAGTTAGACCATAGCACCATTAATCACGATACCTATCATATTCATCTAACAATTGTTCTTGCCTCCCCAAGTCCACTGCCACCACCCTAATTCAAGCCACCATCCTCTCTTTCTGGTCTGCTCCCACAGCCCTATTAGTGTCCTTTTTTCCACACTTCCCCCCTACATTCATTTAACGGGCTCAAAAGTCCAGCCAATCTTGGCTCCCTCTTTCCATGCCCCTCAAATTCTTGTCACCTGGTCCTCTTTCTGTCCCTTAATATATGCCAAGCTCTTCTTCTCTACTTTGTGTTTAATATTCTCTTATTTTCCTGAAAGGCTTTTGCCTCAGCTGTTCCCATAGCTAGTTTCTTTTCTTCCTTCAGTTCTGATCTCCAAAGTCACCTCCTCACGTGTAGACCTTCCCTGATGTTTTAATTAAATTTGGTCTCCCTAATATTGCCCATCAAAAAGCAACTAGTTTATTTCCTCCCTGGCATTAATCATGACATGTCATTCTTCTGTTAAATGTATTCAATTTCTTTCTTTTTTTTTTTTTTTTTCTTTTTTATTTTTGAGATGCAGTCTTGCTCTGTCTCCCAGGCTGGAGTGCAGTGGCGGATCTCAGTTCACTGTAACTTCTTTCTCCCCGGTTCAAGCAATTCTCCTGTTCAAACGATGCCTCCCAAGTAGCTGGGACTACAGGCGCCCGCCTCCATGCCCAGCTATTTTTTTTTATTTTTAGTAGAGATGGGGTTTCACCATATTGGTCAGGCCGGTCTCGAACTCCTGACCTTGTGATTCTCCCACCTTGGCCTCCCAAAGTGCTGGGATTACAGGTGTGAGTCACTGTGCCCGGCTTGTTTTTGTTTTTCATTTTATTTTATCTTTAGAGATGGGGTTTCACCATGTTGGCCAGGATAGTCTCAATCTCTTGACCTCGAGATCTGCCTGCCTCTGTCTCCCAAAGTGCTGAGATTACAGGCGTGAGCCACCGCGTCCGGCCTTTTTTTTTTTTTTTTTTTTTTTTTTGATACGGAGTTTGGCTCTGTCACCCAGACCAGACTGGAGTGCAGTGGCGCAATCTCGACTCACTGCAACCTCTGCCTCCGGGGTTCAAGCGATTTTCCTGACTCAGCCTCCTGAGTAGCTGAGATTACAGGCACACACCAACATGCCTGGCTAATTTTTGTATTTTTAGTAGAGACGGAGATTTCGCCTTGTTGGTCAGGCTGGTCTTGAACCCCTGACCTCGTGATCCACCCGCTTCGGTCTCCCAAAGTGCTGGGATTACAGGCGTGAGCCGTGGCGCTCCGCCCAACTTCTTTCTTTAATAGAAAAAGTAAATTTCAAAGTTTTGTAATATTTCTCCAACAAGTAGGATGCGCAGGTGAAATATAGAATACCTAGTTAAATTTGAATTTCCAATAAACAGCGAACTTTTAAAATGTGAGATTTGGGACATACTATACTAAAAAAGTATTCGTTATCTGAAATTTAAACTTAATCGTCCCATATGTGTATTTAAAAAATTTTTGACAGCTTCCCAGAATAAATTAGCGTCTTGTATTTTCATTTCTTAAATCCTACACCCTTACCCACAGGCTTGACTCCTGTATTTTCCTGAGGTTCTATCCTCCCGGCCCAGCCCAGAGCTCATTATTTACAAGGTGCTCAGTAATTGTTGTATATGAATGAACTATCTGCACGCTGTTTTGTACGTTTTCTACTCATCTGAAATTTACATGTATTTATCAGAAATTCCCACATCCACTGAAATCACTTATTTAAGACAATTTTGGAAAATACATTGTATTGCCAAAACTTCTTTGTTTTCCATTTCTGCAAAATTGGCATAGGAGTATCTACCCTCATCACATTGTTTTGACAATTAAAAGAGTTAGTGAAAAAGTAAAAGTAAAGTTTTGCACTGTGCCCGGCCCACTAGGACGCTCAATACAGTTCTTTATTAAATGAAGCCTGTGCACCATTTTAGCGACAAGCAAAAAAAGCGCGTTTGTAAAGAACGGGTGGGGGTAGGGAAAACGGTTAGAAAGGTCCGCCGACCCAACACCTACGGCCCGGGAAAATGGGAGGAGCGAAGAGTGAACGACAGAGGAAGCAGCCAATGGGGAGACTGGGAACTACTTCTCCCCCTCCCTTTGCGTTTCAAATTCTAAGCTCCGTTTCCATCCGGGTCCTTCAGCCTCGTTCCCGGGCAGTATAAAGTTTGCTGTCTCCTTTGTTCGTCCTCGTTGCGCAGTAGTGCTAGCGGCTTCGTGTTTCGGTACCCGCACCCGGCAGCTGCTTTTGGTGCTAAGCTGCTAGGAAGCCCCTCTCGGCGAGCTCGTTGGAGCTTGAACCCATTGTCACCCCTCGGGTACGTGTCTCCTTTCCTCAGTCTGTTTTTCGTGACACTCGTCGTGTTAGGACTGGGGATTATATCTCTCCGGAGATGGGGGTGGCGGGCGCCATTTTAAGAACCCAAAGGTGCCGACCTATTTAAATAAAGCTGAGGGGGTCGAGGGAAAACAAATGAGGGGGTCCGTTTGGTTGTATGCCTCTCGAGAAAGTTTGGCAGTCGCCTGCGGGAGTGGGTAGCGGAGGTCGGGGCTTTGTAGGCTGGAGCCGGGCGAGGAGCGACTGCACCACCGCGATACCTGCATTGGGATGGCGCTGGCGCTAATGATGGGCATGTGGACTTCCATGCGGGCTGCGGGCTCCGTATTCATTGGCGGTCCGGGAGAAGAACCCCTGTGAATGTGCACAGCCAGTGTTGGTGGTAAAAGTTATTCCCCTTACCGGTGTCGGTGGTTCTGGGTTGAATCCAAGTGTCGCCATTTTGTCTTTTACACGCGGTTTTTAATGACGAGTTTTAATTAGGTTCCGCTGCAGTCACGGAGTGTCAAGTGTTAGTGTGTGCGTCCGCGTTCCGTTACTTAATAGGAAACAGTGTTGCCAATTTGTTTTTATCTTTTTGGCCGGAGAGTAGCATTTTCGGCAGGGCGGGGACCAGTGAAGAAGAGGTGGCATAACTTGGCTCGAACTTGACATTTCTCCCTAGATTTAGTAGGGAATTCTAATGAGGAAAAGAGGAGTCGTTTGGAAGAGGGCTTGGTGTTAAGGTCGTGTGTCTGGCCTGTGACCTTGGGAGTCTTTTAAAACCCCATCCTTACGAAGGGTGTGATGAATAATTGAATCTTTCAAAGGCAACGGAAATACAGGACTATAACTAAAAGTTGCTTTCTCAAATGTTAAGCAGCTGTTGCGAAGAATAGCTAAGGGTGATCAAGGGTAGTGGTAAAAGTGATTTTGGCCCTTTTCACCAGTTTTATGTAAATTACACTGTTACTAAACTACTTAATTCAAATTGCTTCCTACTGTGGCTGAGGCTTATCTTGTTAGCGTTTTCTTTAGTCATTAAGAAACAATGGTTTTAGTGGAAAATATGAAAAATGTGCCACAGTAAAAGTGTTGAATAAACTTGAGGAAGTTTTTGCAGTGAGGTAATACTATTCCTTCTCAACAGACTTACCGACAAAACAAAACAAAAAAATGGTTGAAGCAGATCGCCCAGGAAAGCTCTTCATTGGTGGGCTTAATACGGAAACAAATGAGAAAGCTCTTGAAGCAGTATTTGGCAAATATGGACGAATAGTGGAAGGTGAGTTGTCTGGAATTACAGGCTGGGCTATTATAATTAAAACATAAGCTGTGATGAATTTGATTGCATTGATCATACGACGTGATAATGTGTTTTGTCCTCTAAGAAGTTCTGAGCTTTCTCTTCACACATTTACCTTGGTTATTTCATTTGAACTAGGGTAACACTTAATTTTCTGAAAACTACTTTTTAGTACTCTTGATGAAAGACCGTGAAACCAACAAATCAAGAGGATTTGCTTTTGTTACCTTTGAAAGCCCAGCAGACGCTAAGGATGCAGCCAGAGACATGAATGGAAAGGTGAGATTGTCTACACAATGGATGATAACCTGTTACTAGTGCATAAAATAACATGTAGTTGCGCCAGTCTGGACTAGGACAGCTTTTGAGTTTTCATTGTATTTCACTATGTGCCTGTCTGGGACCCACTGATCCTACCCGTTTGTGATCCTCTTCCAAAGAATATTCTGTAATTCCAGAACCAAATCTAGTAGTGAATTATCTCTTATGCCGTTAACATACTCTCGGTTCAAAATAATTGTCATTACATGATGCATTTTTTTTTTTGAGACAGTATTTCTCTGTTGCCCAGGCTAGAGTGCAAGGGTGTGAACTCTGTTCACTGCAACCTCTGCCTCCTGGGTTCTAAGTGATTCTCCTGCCTCAGCCTCCCTGTAGCTGGGATTACAGGCATCCAACACCACATCTGGCTGATTCTGTATTTTTAGTAGAGACGGGGGTTTCACCATGTTGGCCAGGATGGTCTCAAACACCTGACCTCAAGTGATCCACCTGCCTCAGCCTCCTAAAGTGCTGGGATTACAGGCATGAGCCACGGCGCCCTGCCATCATGATACATTTTATCTTGAGATACCTAAATCATATTTTGATAACTTGGCTTTTAGTTTTGATAACAAGCTGTCATCTACTTGGGCTTGTTTTAAATTTTACCAAACAGCAACTCCTGACCTCAGGTGATCCACCCGCTTCGGCCTCCCAAAGTGCCAGGATTACAGGCTTGAGTCACCGTGCCTGGCCTATCAGTATCATTTTTAAGTACTAAGAATTTTAAGTGGAAAAGCCCCATTTATATAAACTGATTGTATTTGCAGTGTTTTTTCTTCGACTAATTAATGAGCAACACTTATCCATAACTGCATTTTGAAGGACCTGTTAGTGTCCTAGTGCATAAATGTGCAAATTATTTTTAAATCTTGATGTAACCATATCTTTTTTTGTAGTCATTAGATGGAAAAGCCATCAAAGTGGAACAAGCCACCAAACCATCATTTGAAAGTGGTAGACGTGGGCCACCTCCACCTCCAAGAAGTAGAGGTCCTCCAAGAGGTCTTAGAGGTGGAAGAGGAGGAAGTGGAGGAACCAGGGGACCTCCCTCACGGGGAGGACACATGGGTAATAACTTGTGTGGATCTCGGGCTTAGTGTATAAGTCAGGGACTGCAAACTCATACCAAGTGGATGTTTTGGTTAAGTCCTTGAGGAAAGGCACCAACTTTTAAAATTGACAACACTTGTTTGTCTACCAAAGTGATTGCCATTTGAAAGCATAGGAAGCATGTTACAGTGTTAAATTGTGTACAGTGTCCTTGTCCAAGTAGTTCACTTTGTAGGAAAGACATTTAAAAATTTTTGATAGCCCTAGGTGTTGGACATGGAAGTAATTTTTATTTTTTAAAGTTAGCTGGGTGTGATGGCCCACGCCTGTAAAACCCGCTGCTTGGGAGGCTGAGGCAGGAGAATCGCTTGAACCCAGGAGGCAGAGGTTGCAGTGAGCCGAGATCACACCATTGCACTCCATCCTGGGTGACACAGCAAGACTCCTCCTCAAAAAAAAAAAAAAAAAGTTAAGACTACCTTCAGTTCTTACTTCCCCAGTCTGTATGACTGCACTGCATGCTCTGTCAAGTACAAATGAAACTAGACCACCCAACTAAATAATGGCTATATATATATATATATATTTTTTTTTTTTGGAGACAGTTTCACTATTGTTACCCAGGCTGGAGTACAGTGGCGGGATCTTGGCTCACTGCAACCTCTACCTCCCAGGTTCAAGTGATTCTCCTGCCTCAGCCTCCCAAGTAGCTGGGATTACAGGCATGTGCCACCAGGGCTGGCTGATTTTTGCCTTTTTAGTAGAGACGGGGTTTCACTATGTTAGGCTGGTCTTCAACTTCTGACCTCAGGTAATCCACCCGCCTTGTCCTCCCAAAGTGTTGGGATTACAGGTGTGACGCATCACGCCTGGCCCAATGATGGTTATATTCTTATTGAAGCAAAGAAAATTTATAGCGGCCAGGTGCAGTGGCTCACACCTGTAATCCCAGTACTTTGGGAGGCCAAGGTGGGCGGATCACTTGAGGTCAGGAGTTTGAGACCAGGCTGGCCAGCATGGTGAAACCCCCCCCCCACTTAAAAAAATACAAAAAATTAGCTGGGAATGTTGGCATGTGCCTGTAATCCCAGCTATTTGAGAGGCTAAGGGAGGAGAATTGCTTGAACTCAAACGGAAGTTGCAGTGAGCTGAGATTGTGCCATTGCACTCCAGCCTGGGTGACAGCGCAAAAAAAAAAAAAAAAAACTTTTATAGTTTCCTTGATTCTTGTGAGTAGTAACATTTTTCTTTTCTATTCTAATGTAGATGACGGTGGATATTCCATGAATTTTAACATGAGTTCTTCCAGGGGACCACTCCCAGTAAAAAGAGGACCACCACCAAGAAGTGGGGGTCCTCCTCCTAAGAGATCTGCACCTTCAGGACCAGTTCGCAGCAGCAGTGGAATGGGAGGAAGAGGTAAATGGAAACGTTTCATGTGTGACAATCTATGATACTACTGTAACACAAAAAATTGAGAGGCGAGTGATGCCTAAAACTTTAATCATAGAGGCCAGGCAGGGTGGCTCATGCCTGTAATCCCAGCACCTTGGGAGGCCGAGGTAGGTGGATCATCACGTCAGGAATTCGAGACCAGCCTGGCCAACATGGTGAAACCCTATCTGTACTAAAAATACAAAAATTAGATGGGCATGGTGGTGGGCACCTGTAATCCCAGCTTTTCTGGAGGCCGAGGCAGGAAAATTGCTTGAAACTGTAAGGCAGAGGTTGCTTTGAGCTGAGATCGAGCCACTGTACTCCAGCCTGGGAGAAAGAGTGAAACTCCGTCTCAAAAAAAAAAAAAAAAAAAATTAATCATTGGGTTCTAGGTGATCTAGATAACATGGAATTAGTGAGCACTAAAAAAAATCTAAAATGTGAATGGGAAATTCTAGAAAGTAAAATGAGATCTAGCCTCCATAATGTCAATTTTGAAGTCAGTCTCATTACTTTTTAAGGCCTGAATGTAAGTTCAGGTTTTAACTTTTTTCTGTGTTTAAAATTTTTTTTTTTTCCTTAAGCTCCTGTATCACGTGGAAGAGATAGTTACGGAGGTCCACCTCGAAGAGAACCGCTGCCTTCTCGTAGAGATGTTTATTTGTCCCCAAGAGATGATGGGTATTCTACTAAAGACAGGTAACAAAAGTGCAGCTTGTTTATTAATAATTAAAAGAAAGCTTATCAAAAGCACAAACCAAAACTTGTGTTTTTGTAGCTATTCCAGCAGAGATTACCCAAGTTCTCGTGATACAAGAGATTATGCACCACCACCACGAGATTATACTTACCGTGACTATGGTCATTCCAGTTCACGTGATGACTATCCATCAAGAGGCTATAGGTAAGTGACTGCTTCTGTGGCTTGCGTGTAAGAAAAACTATGGAAGTTGATGCTCTGGGACTTACCTTTCTCTTTAATTTAGCGATAGAGATGGATATGGTCGTGATCGTGACTATTCAGATCATCCAAGTGGAGGTTCCTACAGAGACTCATATGAGAGTTATGGTAAGATACTGGTTAAGGGTCTTGAGTATCACCAGCTTGAGTTTTTAGGTTCGTGAGCCAGTTTATTAGGCTGCGTGGTGCTTGCTTTTAAAGGGATGTTTGCTTGCTTTTAAAGGGGGTAACTTTATCAGCTGGGCTTTTCCTAGTTTTTGTGAGGGGCTTTTTTTGTTTCTCTAAGTTTCTTTTGAGGCTGTTTGCTTGCTTTGGAGGGGATTTTGCTTGCTTAAATTGGCAGCCTTATGTGTTTTCCCCCAACAGTGAAAATACAATTAAAAAATATTTATTAACAAGATCAAATATTTACCATTGCAATATGAAGGCAAGTTCTACAGTTCAAAATTGCAACTTATCACTGGAAAGTGGCTGAGTGTCTACTATAAAATAACAAGCTCTCTGGAATATCCTCTTGAAATACACACCGTCTTCAGTCTTTTCAAACAAACATTAAAATGAATCCATTTCCATATCTCAGCAGATGAGCAAATCCCTGTTATGGCCAGCAATGGCAGAGTTTAAAACCTCCCACCCAGTTGAGAAAGTAAACTTTTAATACAAGAATTCTGTAAATTCAGATTTAAAATGTTGTATATATACAATTTATAGTGTTGCCATATTACCTGACCATTGACCCTGCAGGTAACTCACGTAGTGCTCCACCTACACGAGGGCCCCCGCCATCTTATGGTGGAAGCAGTCGCTATGATGATTACAGCAGCTCACGTGACGGATATGGTGGAAGTCGAGACAGTTACTCAAGCAGCCGAAGTGATCTCTACTCAAGTGGTCGTGATCGGGTTGGCAGACAAGAAAGAGGGCTTCCCCCTTCTATGGAAAGGGGGTACCCTCCTCCACGTGATTCCTACAGCAGTTCAAGCCGCGGAGCACCAAGAGGTGGTGGCCGTGGAGGAAGCCGATCTGATAGAGGGGGAGGCAGAAGCAGATACTAGAAACAAACAAAACTTTGGACCAAAATCCCAGTTCAAAGAAACAAACAAAAAGTGGAAACTATTCTGTCATAACTACCCAAGGACTACTAAAAAGAAAAATTGTGTTACCTTTTTTAAATTCCCTGTTAAGTTCCCCTCCATAATTTTTATGTTCTTGTGAGGAAAAAAGTAAAACATGTTTAATATTATTTGACTTTACGACATTGCTTTTCAACAAGCAAATGTTAAATGTGTTAAGACTTGTTGTACTAGTGTTGTAACTTTCCAAGTTAAAGTGTCCCTAAAGGCCACTTCCTATATGATTTTTCCCAGTAAGTGAGGCAAGCAATTCTAAGATCTTCCACAAAACATCTAGCCATCTAAAATGGAGAGATGAATCATTCTGCCTATACAAACAAACTAGCTGTTAGAGGGTGGTTGGGGTATGCTACTCATAAGATTTCAGGGTGTCTTCCAACTAAAACCTCCATGATCTCAGTATGAAAAACCTGAAATCAGATGCCTATGTAAGGAAATAATCGCCCAGTAAACCCAAAAATGCAAATGGATAATGCTGGCCATTTTGCCTTTCTGACATTTCCTTGGGAATCTGCAAGAACCTCCCCTTTCCCCTCCCCCAATGAGACCATTTAAGTGTGTGTTAAACAACTACAGAATACTAAATAAAAAGTTTGGCCAAAACCAACCATGAAGCTGCAAAGGTGCTTGCTCTTACTGTTTCAAATTTTTGCAACTCTGTAGTGTCTCACTTTTAAAGGAACAGCTTGATTGCAAAGGAGAAAATAGATAAGCAATGAAGTTATCTCCAACTTCCTAAAGGCTTATGACTTCTAAAAAGTGAATCTATCAGCATTCCACATCAGATTTAAAGCATCAAATGCCTGTGAAACAGCAAAGATGGTAAGCAAAGCAAACTAGTTTTTCCGTCTAAGTCGAAATTGAACACTTACCTTCCTCATAGTACAGTGAAACATACTGTACCTCATGGCAATGGAAATGCCTTCTAGATTTAAAAAAAACTTGGAAAAAACAAATATTCAATAGCATATTAGAAGTCCTCCAAATTCAACACTTGGATTTTTTTTCTTTTTTTTTTTTTTTTTTTTTTTAAAACAAATTAGTCTCTTATTCAATATAGGAAATGGCTTAAGTTTGGGGTCCCCCTTTTTACCCCTGTAAGCCATTGCAAACTTAACATTTAGTTGGATGCCTGACTTGTTTTTTAGTTCTATGAAACTACACTGTATGGAGAAAATCTATTGCAAGTGGTCTTTAAAAAGCAAAACCTGAGGCAGCATGACCCAGGTCCAGCCATGAAGTTGAAAAAGATGCTCTTGAATATAGTAAACTTGAAGACCTCCAACTAAAAATCCTTATACTGCACTTATTCCTTCAAATAAGTTTTGTTCGTTCAACTTATGGATTTAACGTGGCAGTGCACCATTGGAACAGAATGACAATCCATAAGCCATGCAACTTAACCATTTAAGCCATTCCAGTCCATCCTAAGCCAGTGAATCTTCCACCACTTAAGAGAAGTAGTAGAACATGAAATATGTTAAGCTGCAAGTCTGAACTTGCCTTTTCTTTCTGGAAAAGAGGGCAGTAATAGGCAAGTTTTGAAGAATTTCCTTAAGAGAGATAACTAGTTTTCATTTATTTAACTTTTGCAGGTTGAGGATTATGCTCATTATGGTCGTGGAGTGCTGATTTATTCACAGTAGATAAAGCTGGCAGTAAGAGAAATCAAAGGCTAAGGTAAGTTTTGAAAGCAGTGGCCTTTGAAAGTTTAAATGCTGTGTAACTACCACTTAGTTTAGCTGTGACATTGGAAAGTTGTTACACTTGTGCTTCTCACTTAGTCTGTAAGAGACTACCACTTGGAATTGAAGATGTAATAATTAAGTGCTTTAATGTGTAATACCTGGCACATTCGTTGTGAATGTAGAAAGGTTATGTTTCCATGAGTGTGGCTCATTCATGTGATTATTCTTAGTTATTTTTGAACCTGTAAAGCTTGCTAATAGCTCTTCATATGCAAGCATTCTTAACAGGAAGTATACACTTAGGCTCACGTCTGTAATCCCAGCACTTGGGGAGGCCAAGGCGGGGCAAATGCTGAGGTCAGGAATTTGAGACCAGTCTGATCAACATGGTGAAACCCTGTCTCTACTGAAAATACAAAAATTAGCCAGGTGTGGTGGCACGTGCTTGTAGTCCCAGCTTCTTGGGAGACTGAGGCACCAGAATCTCTTGAACCCAGCAGGTGGAGGTTGCAGTGAGCCAAGATCATGCCATTGCACTCCAGCCTGGGCAACTGAGCAAGACTCCGTGTCGAGAAGAGGAAAAAAAAAAAAAAAAAAAAAGGTTGCTCAGTGCATTTTGTAAAAGGATATGCTTCGTTGTTACTAGTGCCTGCTCATTTGCACAGCCGCAATACAAATTGACCAAATGTGGAGTTGATGATGCAGCTGGGACTTCAAGTTCCCTGTTTGATGAATATAATTTTATTGACATGATGACCTAGTATGTGATTTTAATAGTACCAAGCTGATACCTATGGTAATTGTAATGGGGTATTTATGGTTGGTTTCTTTTCTTTTCGATGGCATCTCACTCTGTTGATCTACCTGCCTTGGCCTCCCAAAGTGCTGGGATTACAGGTGTGAGCCACTGTGCCTGGCCTATGGTTGCTTTTTAGAGCTTGTGTGGGGTTTGTATTTTTTTGTTTGTTTTTTGAGACAGAGTTTCGCTCTTGTTGCCCAGGCTGGAGTGCAATGGTGTGATCTCAGCTCACTGCAACCTCTTCCTCCTGGGTTCAAGGGATTCTCTTGCTTCAGCCTCCCAAGCAGATGGGATTAGAGGTGCCCTCCACCATGCCTGGCTAGTTTTTTTGTATTTTTAGTAGAGATGGGGTTTCACCATGTTGGCCAGGCCGGTCTCAAACTCCTAGCCTCAGATGATCCACCTGCCTTGGCCTCCCAGTGTGCTTGAGAGTATAGGTATGAGCCACTGCATCCAGCTGTTTTTTTGGGATGGCGTCTCCCTCTGTCACCCAAGCTGGAATGCAGTGATTTGATCTCAACTCACTGTACTACAGGTGTGTGCCACCATACCTGGCTAATCTTTGTATTTTTTTGTAGAGATGGGGTTTCACTATGTTGACCAGGCTGGTCTCGAACTCCTGACGTTGAGTGATCCACCTGTCTCGGCCTCCCCAAGTGCTGGAATTATAGGTGTGAGCTACTGCACCCAGCCAGAGCTTGGTTTTAAAGCATATACTTCTATTTTAAGCTAAAGCAACAAGAAAGTATATATTTTAAAAATAGTTGGGGGCGGGGAGTACGTCACAGTAATACAAATACCACGTAACAAGATCCCATGTTTTTCATTTTGCAGAGTTGTTGAAGCAGAAGGCGGCTGATTGTCGATAAGTCACTACAGTTGCACAAGCAGTACTGTCAGAATTGGTTTGGTGCAGGCAATAGATTTTTGCCTTCAGGGATTCCTGTGGATGTGAGGAAGGCATAAGTGTTGATTAACACTCATAACTAGGGAGTGAGTGGTAGTTACTTCAAACAAGTAACTGACCAGATGGAGAAGGGGAAGTAATTAAGGAAGTTGGTAAATGGAGGTAGTCAGGAAGTTCTTGTGGTTCTTTACGTAGATTGTACAGCTTTGGCTTTCATTTTGTTTAGCTAAAGTCATGGGGACAACAATTTAGAACTTAAGTTGAATTATAAAAATGATGGATATAAGTGGTAGCTCTATCTAGTGAAGTGTTTGTCAGTAAGTGAAACATTTTTTGGTGGTAGCTTATCCAGAAACAGTTTAGTTGTAGAATAAAACAGTGACATCTGGAAAGTAACCATGCTGAGATGGCAAGCACACTGGAAATAATTAGGCCACTTGGCTTTCGTTTGCTGTATTGTTTTATAAGCCTGCTTTACGTCCCAGTCTTGGAAACAAGTTTTAGTTTATTGCTTTGGAGACTAGAGCCAATAGCATGATTTTCTGAAAGGAAACAGACTTGAGTTGTTGGAGTAGAGGAACTAACTCAACTTACAAGATTTTTTTTCGTTGTAATTATGGCACTGTCCTGTTTTAACATTTGCAACTAGGGAGAGTAAGTACAACATTTTAAACTCTGATTTGAAAGACAACTACTAATCAACAGACCACAAGGATAATGACCAAATTTATGTGGTTGTTGCCCCAGTCTTCCATACTCTTATGATTACTTGGGTTAAAGCTTCTGTGAGGACCTTTTGGCTCTTGAGATATGCTAAATATTTAAGATATATCCTTAAAGATAGTATAGGATATAGAGATTGTACCAAATATGAATGAATATTAACTTCAAAGCAAGGAGTATGTTAAAATGACCAGATACCTGTGTGATAAGTAGTTTACTGACCTTGCAGATGTGTGAAAAAAGAATCAGATCTTGATTCTTTTGGGTTTATACTGGTTGTAAAACAGAATGATATAGAAAATGTTTCTCTTGTTTAACTGGTAGTTGAACATAGAACTTGGGTATTTAGATCTCTTTTCACTTTTTGGAATGTTTTGTATTGAAACTTAATAAAACTTTAACATGGCATCTTTTTTGTGGCAAGGGGCTCTTTTTTACCTTTAGAAATTAGGGGTTTATGTTTTTAAGTGTTTCTCGTGTCCCCCTTCCCCCAAAAACTAGCTCTGTTGCATTGATTGCACTTAATCAGATTGCACTTAATCAGCCTTAATGTCCTGAGCCATTGAGGCTGTTCATGTGACTAGGCCTCCTTTTTTGAGAGTGAGCTTGAGGGGTAATGTCGATGACTTCATTCAGTCCTCTAAAAATTAAATGGAAGAACAATCACACACCTAAGAAGCAGAGGCTAAATACCAGGAATCAACTGTAGTGCTTTTACTTAATTCCTGCTTAAAAAACAGGTCAGCAACAACTCAGTTGTGGCTGTGGATTCCAGATACTTTGGGCCAAGCGATGCGTATGATAATACGCTTCTGAATTTAGTTTTCGGTTTCTCTGCTTTACCTAGCATCCTATGTATATCTGACTCTAATTGATCATTCGCATCTAGAACTGGACATTGCATTTGGGTTTATGTAGTCAGTTGAACAGAACTCATCACATGGAGAAAGAAAGCAGCTGAGCATTAAGATGGCAGAGAAAGCCCTAAGTATTGTCATTCTGAAAATAGTCTCAGCTCTACCTTTTTTTTTTTTTTTTTTTTTTTTTTTTGAGACAGTCTCACTCTTGCCCAGGTGGGAGTGCAGTGGTGCCATCTTGGCTTACTGCAACCTCCGCCTCCCCAGGTTCAAGTGATTCTTCTACCTCGGCTAGGATTACAGGTGTGCAATGCACACCACACCCAGCTAATTTTTGTATTTTAGTAGAGAGGGGTTTTCACTATGTTGGCCACCCTGGTCTCAAACTCCTAACCTCAAGTGGTCCGCCTGCCTTGGCCTTCGAAAGTGCTGGGATTGACCACGCCCAGCCAGCCCTACACTTAACTGTTCCAGAAAAACATCAGTCTACCCATCCCATCAATACTTTATGTTGCACATGTCCGTATACTTCCCTGAAATATAATTTGGACTTTTGTATCAGTGAATTCAACTTTTATTGATTTTCAAGATAACATTCAAATCTGAAATCTTAAAGTATTAAGTGTGCCATTTTATGAACTGTGATAAATGTGTATTGTACCAAGATAAAAACTTGAGTTTTAGCCATGTATACATCAGTTCCTTTTTACTGCGAATCATGAGTATAGTGTGCTTACGTAATCATGGAAACCTGGACCTTTTCTAGTTATTTGTTTTCTTGCATAAAGTTGCTATAAATGTTCTTAACACTAGTTTTTGTAATTACTGAGATGAAAACATACGGAATTGCTGATTCAGGATAGATTTTTGAGATGGCCAGGCATTTGGTCCAAAGTAATATTTTGGAAACGCTTAGCCAATGATGTGTGAGGTTATTTGCCCTCGTCAGTATCAGGTGTTGAAGTTTAGCCCTTACGTCCTTATGTTGAATTTGTGGCTTATCCCCTGAGGAATGAGTAGCGCTTAAAGAATGTGGTAAAGTGTACTGATCTCATGTACAGTTTAATTAGTCTTGAGAAATGCTTAGCACGTGAAGACACAGAACATTGCTCCAGGAAGTTGTGTGTGCCCTTCTCAGCCAATAGATCACCTCCTAACACTAGCAACAGACACTGACCTGGTTTCCTTCATATTTTTGCATGTTTGCTTATATAAATTCTATATATAATTTGTCTAGCTGCTTAGAGTATTTTTGAGATTCATCCACATAGTTGCATGTATATTCCTTTTATTGCAGAGTAGAATTGCAGTGTATGAAGTAACTTTATTGATGGACATCTGGGCCATTTCCAGTTTTTGCCTATTAAGAATACTGCTATGAGTATTGTGCAAGTTTTGGATGTAACAGTTTCTTTTTGTTTTGAGACGGAATCTTGCTCTGTGTCCCAGGCTAGAGTGCAGTGGCGTGATCTCGGCTCACTGCAACCTCCGCCTCCTGGGTTCAAGCAATTCTGCCTCAGCCTCCCGAGTAGCTGGTATTGCAGGCTGCTGCCTGGCTAATTTTTGTGTGTTTTAGTAGAGATGGGGTTTCCCCATCTTGGCTAGGCTGGTCTCGAACTCCTGACCTTGTGATCCACCCACCTCGGCCTCCCAAAGGGCTGGGATTACAGGCATGAGCTGCCGCGCCCGGCCTGGATGTGACAGTTTCTTTTGGATAAATGTCTTGAGTGGGATTTGTGGAGTGACAGGGTGTAGATAATACAATAAATCTTAAACATTGTTGCAGATTACCTGAAGAATTATTGGAAACTAAGTGAAATGATATATAATGAAACCAATTTTACCATAGGCTAATTGACACAAGAATTAAGTTCCTACAGCATATTTCTGGTTACAAACATCAAACATTTTTTTTGAGACATCATACTCTTGCCCAGGCTGGAGTGTAGTGCCATTATGGCTCACTGCAGCCTTGACCTCCTGCACTCAAGCAGTCCTCACACTCTAGCCTCCCAAGTAGCTGGGACTACAGGCCTGTGCCACCATGCCTGGCCTTTTTTTTTTTTTTTTTTTTTTTTTAATATAGAGACAGGGATCTGCCTTCATTGCCCAGGCTGGTTTTGAACCTTGCAATCCTTTCTTCACCTCCCAAAGTGCTGGGATTACAGGTGTGAGCCACTGCATGTGGCACCAAATAAGAGCCAAAGCAACATCTAATACTAAATATTGAAGTAAACGTGAGCTATGCATACATTTAAGAAAGGGTGAAAAGGCAAGGTATATAGTAAATTACCCAGTTATTCTAAATAGAGTCTCAGGAAACTAGAACCTATCTAGCCAGCTCAAGGCCAAGATGGGAACTGATGATGTTCAGGAGGCTATTCCATTGCAGGCCATGCTCACACCTAAGTTCACTCAGATTGGGACCATTTAGACTTGCCAATTTACCTCGGGTCTTTGGGATGTGGGAGGGAACTCGGGTACCCAGAGAAGAAAGCCCATGCAGACACGGGGAGGATGTGTTAACTCCACAACAGTGGTCCCAGCCAGGAGTTGATTTGTTTTTCCTCAACAAAATGATGTTGACCAAAACGACATTTTTAAAGGATCTGCTGTATGTTTAATCTTTTTTTTTTTTTTTTTTTTTTGAGATGAAGTCTTGTTCTGTCACCCAGGCTGGAGTGCAGTGGTGTGATCTCTGCTCACCATAACCTCCACCTCCCAGGTTCAAGCGATTCTCCTGCCTCAGCCTCCTGAGTAGCTAGGACTACAGGCACGTACCACCACACTGAGCTAAATTGTTTTGTATTTTTAGTAGAGAAGGGGTTTCACCATGTTGGTCACGCTGGTCTCGAACTCCTGACCTCCTGATTCGCCCGCCTTGGCCTCCCGATGTGCTGGGATTATAGGCGTGATCCACTGTGCCCGTCTTGTATGTTTAATTTTTAAGAAACTACCAAAGTTTTCCCAAAGTGGTTGTACCATTTTATGCCCTCATTAGCAATTTATTTTTGAGACAGAGTCTTGCTCTTGTCCAGGGTGGAGTGCAGTGGTATGATCTCGGCTTGCTGCAACCTCCAAATCCCGGGTTCAAACGATTCTCCTGTCTCAGCCTCCTGCGTAGCTGGGACTACAGGCACCCGCCGCCATGCCCAGCTAATTTTTTGTAGTTTTAATAGAGACAGGGTTTCATTGAGTTAGCCAGGATGGTCTTGATCTTCTGACCTTGATCCTCCAGCCTCCGCCTGTCAAAGTGTTGAGATTAATAGGCATGAGCCACCACGCCCAGCCTCTGAGCATCTTTTTTTGAAGACTAGCCTCCAGTACTTAGTATCTTAATAGGAAATACACATATCTGGGTCCATTACTGTACTTAAAAAAAAAGTTGATCAATAATGTCCATTCTTATCTTGATTACTGCAGGTTTTTTTTTTTTGTTCATTATTTGATTTGTGGGGGGGATGCAGTTTTACTCTTGTTGCCCAGGCTAGAGTGCAATGGCACAATCTTGGCTCACTGCAACCTCCACCTCCCTGATTCAAGCGATTCTGCCTCAGTCTCTCCAGTAGCTGGGATTACAAGTGCCTGGCTAATTTTTGTATTTTTAGTTGAGGTGAGGATTCACTGTGTTGGCCAGGCTTCTCTCAAACTCCTGACCTCAGGTGATCCCCCCGCCTTGGCCTCCCAAAGTGCTAGAATTACAGGTGTGAGCCACTGCACCTGGCCTGATTACTTACTGAAGTTTTATAGTAAGCTCTCTGAAGATAGTAATTTTTAAGGTCCTAAAGTTTGCTTCCTGCAGAGTGGATTTTTTTTCCTTTGAAGTTACTATTACTGTTTTTTTCCTACTTCAAACTTCTTGTTAGGGGCTTTCCTCAAATAACTGGAAAGTTTTGGCTCTGTGCTCATGATTATAAGAAGAGGGGATTAACATGTTTATAAGCTCGGAGGGCTTTTTTACTGAGCTTCACCATGGGTGCTGTTTGTTGGAAAACCCCTGTGCTATGGTTTGAATGTTTGTCCCCTCCAAAACCCATGTTGTAAAACTTTTTCGAGATGGAGTTTCACTCTTGTGGCCCAGGCTGGAGTACAATGGTGCAATCTTGGCGCACCACAACCTCCACCTCCCAGGTTCAAGCAGTTCTCCTGCTGCAGCCTCCCGAGTAGCTGGGAGTACAGGTAGATGCCACCACGCCCAGCTAATTTTTGTATTTTTAGTGGAGATGGGGTTTTACCATGTTGGCCAGGCTGGTCTAGAACTCCTGACCTCAAGTGATCTGCCCACCTCTGCCTCCCAAAGTGCTGGGATTACAAACATGAGTCACCATGCCTGGCCCATGTTGAAACTTAATTTTCAGTGATTCATGGATTAATGAGTTAATGGATTATCATGGGACTGGGACTGGTGACTTTATGAGAAGAGGAAGAAACCTGAGCTAGCACACTCAGCTTCTTCACCATGTGATACCCTGCACTGCTTTGAGACTGCAATCTGCAGAGTCCCCACCAGCAAGGAGGCTCTCACCAGATGTGACCCCTTGACCTTGGACT